TGATGAACTAACTTCATAAATCCACTCTCGCAACCACGAGATAGAAATCCAGATACCGGTACTCGAACGGTACTTCTACCTACCTCCTCCCCACTACTTCAGTATCTCCTATCTACTTCGAGTATCAATCACTCCTCAAATAGAATATTCCTCCATCAACAACTAATTCCGGAGATCTTCTCCAGCTCCAAACCTCATTTCATCTCACGGGCATCAAGAATTTCTCGTCTCCATCACGGCACTCCTGATGCACCTCGCAAAGGGGATACAAGTACCGCAAACCGCCCGAGCCAACCCCATCCCATCCCATCCCATCCCATCCCATCCCATCCCATCCTCTCCTCCATATCGAACCACTCCCTCAGCAAATAAGCTTACTTTACCCTCCGTAGAGGGAAATTAAGATTAGGTTGAACGGAACATACCTATACCTACCAGTACCAGCCCATGATTCTGTCAAGTTCGGTACTCGGTCTCGTTCCTCGTAAAGTGACGAAATCATACTTTTTTGCGTAAATTTTGTACAAGTTGAAAAAAGGTCGAGTCGGTTGTTGATCTGTGAGTTACTTGTTGAAGCTAGAGCTGGGGATGGGATGTGACCTGTGGTTTTTTGGGGTGGGCGTCGGCACGTTGCGTTGCCTTCTTCCCAAGCCAAGCTAAGCCAGCCCTGAGAGCTGCGCTGCAGTGTAGTTGGCCCGAGCCGAGTGAGAAAATGGATGCCGCCCCCAATATCGGGGTGCCGTCCTTCGCTTGCACGTTTTGCATAGCATAGGGTTGGGTTGGGTTAGGTTGGTTGGTTGGTTAGTAGGTAGGTTGGGCTGGGGCTTGGGTGCGGTGCTGTGGATTGTTGATTTTCCAGAAATACTTCATACACATCACATCGTAAATGCTGCACACACAGACAAAGTGACGTCGTCTTCTCCATTCTTTCTTCTCCTCTCATAGGGAAATTCCGTCCATTTTCATCATCGTCGCCAATTCAAACCAAACACAAAACTCACCTCGAAATCACGTTTCGTCCGTCGTTCGTTCAATCCTATTCCAGGGCTAGGCGCCTAGGCCTACCCATCTACCGCCCTAACCTTACCCACTAATTCGTGCTCATCCTCGCGGGAGCAGCTGAATCAAATCTACATGCTCTGGCTGGCGCGCCTCCAAGCCCAAGGTAGGGGTAAACAAAGAGAAGGCCCGATGGTAGCTTTGGTGTATCCAAAGGGCTGGAATTTGTGGCGTTGTCGAAGCTTCGCTTCCAAATGAGACAGAAAATGAGATAGAGTATGAGGCAGAGACGAAATGCTTGTTGGGTACTCGTACCTTTGTACGTACATAGGTACCACGAGATGCGTTTCTAAAGGAGTGACATTTTCGGTTGGGCGAATTGGATATCGTACCATGATCATGTCGTTCGTTTATTTTTCTTTCTTTTGTGTCTACACCAGTCTGCTACCGAGTAGGTTTCTTTTTTTGTCAAACGAGGGGATTGGATTAGGGATGGCCGGCCCCATTATTTTTTTTCAATGTCCCAGCTTTCAGGTCAGTTAAGGTTAATCCGAGTTTCAACTTCCAATAATTCCTCAGACTTATGTAATTAGTTAGAAGTATATGTAATTAGAAGTATATGTAATTAGAAGTATATGTAATTAGAAGTATATGTAATTAGAAGTATATGTAATTAGAAGTATATGTAATTAGAAGTACAATGGGGAGACCAGCTATCCACAGCGAGAATAGGTAGGACATCGGAGCAATGAACGTGATCCCACGACAACGATGACGAGGAGAATGGCAGTAGCGTACTCTCTGTGTCAAGGGCATTGTATTGCACGAGGACAATCCAATCCTAGAAATAGGACGGTCCCTATCGATATCGATATCGATACGCGCAGCCCCAAAGCGTCGTATGAACAAAAAGAGGTCGCTTACAGTCGTTTATAAAGTGAGAGACAAAATGCAACAATCTATATATTTAAACACGGATTTTCGTCATCCGTCTTGTTAACCGCTGCCGCCGCTGCAGCGGGCCACGAGGATGGAAGATTGAAGATGGGTCCTCTGGCGCTGCCTCTATTAGGCAGTTCTTTGGGGCAAGATTCGTGCAGGCTACCCCTACAAGTGACAGGCTACAAGCTTCAGCGTGGATGATCAGCGCAGTTTCCCACTTTCTGGAGCGCAGGACGGAGACGGCCAGCCCAGAACGAGGGCGAGATGCAACGTCGACAGGTACAGGCATCAGGGGTCCCGAACCGGAAGAGGCTTAGCGTGGAGAAAGACTCACAAAGTAGACGAACCGGCTCGAGGCCGCTGCACTGCTGCAATGCAGACGAAGGAAAAAAGGGTTCGAGAGTTCAGCAAACCAAACAGGAGATGTGATCCTCACCCTTCGATTTCATTTGATCCTTGAGCCTGAAGGGGTTGAAGGGTAGGGTCCAGAGCCCAGAGCCCAGAGGGGAGGGAATGGAGGCATATGCAAGGAATCCATGACTGACGAGCTTATGCTTGGGTGGTTGCGTAGCTCTCCCGCAAAGCAAATCGAGATTGGATGGGGATTATTGATGGAGTTCAATGGAGTAATCGATTAAATAGGCGCGAGAGGGGATGATTCGATGAGCGTCAGAGAAACGTCCTGGCCTGCCAGGGCCTTGTGTCATTCTATTAGAGGCTGTGTAGATGCGAGATGCACGGTAGAAGTACCAATTTTGTACAGTGCAGTAGTAAGTGTGCAGTGAGTGCACTGCCAGCAAGACCCGACTTCGTTCTGACCCAGACACCGGAGCAATGGATGAGGGATTGCTGGTTACAATGCCTTCTTTTTTGTCGCGTCGTCCCTACAAATCTTAATTGTCAAAAAGCTTTTGATGGGCATGAGCATGAGCTGATGGTGGCGAATGTAGGCGAGGACGAGGTTGTGGACGAGGCGGTACGGAGGTACAGCACAACATTATTACGGTACGAGTGCAACCTCGGTAAAGTTAGGAAGACACGGCTGTGCGCTGTACTTTACGATTGACTGTTGACTCCTTCAACTCTTTAAATTCGCTATCGTGGCCTTCCTATCTCGGGAATAGTGAAATAATGGCCTGCATAATAGCCTGGTATGTTGACTCGGCAGCGAAATCTTGGTAAAGACAGTAGACGCGGATAGAGCGGCAGCTGATTGGCAGAAAGTCCCTTTCAAGTCCTCCTTTCTCCGATCTCACCACTCCAGTGCCAATAGCCTTTCGGAGATGGTGGGAATGGAGTCGCTCCACGGTCTCTCCACCACCATGAGACAATGAGACAAGCTTGAGCCTTGAGCTGCGGGCGGATTACCGCACCACTCGGACCCAGTTCCCAGTTCCCAGGCCCACTCCCCGGCGTCCAGTCTGCTGGTCAGTGGTTACCAGTGGCAGGGCGAGAGTGAGTAAGCTACCGAAGTACTTCTTCTAGGCAAATCAGCCGTTGGCGTGTTGGTATTGGAGCCCAGGACAGGGCCGTGGAAAGGATGCGAGCTGCACACTAGCGACGGCAAACTATTTGGGAGTGTCTTCAGCTGGAAGAGGCCTACGGAATGCTTTACCTCATCGTCTGAAGAATGCGTCTTGTCTCTAATCCGAAAGTTGCCTATCTCCCGCACTGAGTGTGCAATGTACTGTGTACTGTATTTGTGCAGACAGCGCTTCGTACGCTGGTAGGTTACATGATGTAAGGTTACCGAGTGCAGTTCCTAAGAGACCATTTCATTCCTCTGGGTGAGGCGCATTCTGTACTACACTCGACGGATTTGACGCTGAGATGGGGTAAGGGTACGGTACTAAGGCCATGCGCCGCTGCTCAATAATCACTTCTGGGTAAGGAATAGCCTGCGGTACTTGAGGGGAGTTACTTCTAGTTGTTGAGCTAGACAAGCAATTACTAGTAGCTCGTCAACTACTGACTGCCGAGACGTACGTAGGTACGCACTAGTGACCTATACGCCGCCTCATACCCCTCCAATTCATTAACCAGAAGGGAAGGTATGTACGCTCTGTACTGGGTGTGAGGGCCGTACCAGCCAGATTTATGAAGGAGATGAAAAAAGAGGGGGTCGGCAGTAGCATGGCTTTCGCTTCGCTTCGACGTTCCTCTGCCGCCATTTTTCCCAGGATTCCTCTTTTATCCTCGTTACCAGGACCAGGACCAGCCTTGGGACAGGACAGGGAACCCGACCATGTCCCCATGCCCTGCCAGGAGTCGAGTTTGGTCGAAAAGATGGGCAGATGGGAACGCCAGGTCTTTCCGAAGCGTACCATGTCTCCGATCGCCTTCCAATCACCCGGGTCCATTTAGACACCCAAGCTCGGTGAACCCTGGGGATGGCTTCGGAGACTGCTCCCCTGGGTCGCTGATTCCTCCACGGTGGCCCAATCAGCTCAGAATCCAAACGTGATGCAACAACGCCCGTAGGAGGGAAGCGTGGGAGAGGTAAAGGCGGCGGGGGATGCTGGTGGTAGGCTGGCAGCTGGTCGTTGGTAGCACTGACCAGCACTGGTAAAATAGCTAGCTGCTGGTGGTGGTGTTAGTGGTGGTAGTGGTAGCTGTTGTGATCCCTTCAACTTGGAGGTAAAGATTCAACCCACTCAACATTCTGCCTTTGCTTTCAGAATGGACCAGTCCTAAGCGAGGTAAACAATCCGTGTATTTACAAGAAACTTGGAGACATATAGAAGGGGTTCTGATATCAAATACACTCCAAAACCAAAATACTTCGTAAGAATCACCATCAAACGCTCCCATCCAACTCGGCCGCTTTATGTTTGTGTGTGTGGGCGGAGAAAGCGTTGCCATCTACGTTCCCAATGACCCCCATCAGGAATAGCGTTCTGACCAGGTCATGAATGCCCCGGATCGCTTAGACGCACCTGAGGGTTCTTGGGTCCACGCATACCCACTCTCCCCCACCCATCCTTCAGAGCCAGCCATTTCTGCCCGCTACGCTAATAATGCTGGAGCTGCTCATACCTAGTACTCCGTCTCCGTACTGTACTGCCTTCATCACTCATCCACCCACCCCTCCGCCGTCCAGGGCATTGCATCGCATCTCTTTCTTCCTCCCCTTCGCTCCCCTTCCCTTCTTGCAACGCACCGCAACGCAACCAGACCGATGGTCTCTTTCAAACCCGTTCACCACCACCAAAACTCTGCGACGGACTTTTGATCCGGGACCACGAGGAGGAAACTAAGAGACGAGAAGGATTTGCAGCACCTCTTTCCACCCGCGGCTCTGTACCCAACACAAAGGCTCCTGGAAGCGAGGGCTCAGCGAAGTGAACCGTGTGGCAGTACAGTCCAGTCCAGTTCACTCCACTCCACTCGCAAATTTTCGACTCGATCATTCTCACCCACCAACACACCCGCCCTCGACCTCCTCACTTCGCCCACAAACCATCACCACCACGATCGTTCATCTCGAGATACGAGTGCAGATATTAATAGGCGTCGGAATCGTGAGCACCCCCCATCTCCCCGTCAACACCCGTCGAGCGTGGGTTGGTCTGGTAAAGAGCGAGGGCGGGAGCGAGCAAGGACATCCCATCCTATCCCATCCCGTAAAACGGGCTGCCGGGAACTCAATGCTTTCCGCCCGCCGCCAAAACTTTAACCACGAACAAAGCTAATTGTTGGGCCAGAAAAGACCTCCACCTTTTCCCTCCACCATCACCAATCATAAACATCACATCACCAGACAACAACGTTCGAATTGTTCTCTTCGCGTGGCATTGGATTCAACGTCGACATGTCGGTATTAAAACAACCAAAAGATGTGCCGCGGGCGAAGGATGCCATGGGCAACGACATACCCGATGCGAAGATGACGAGGACCACCAGCGCTGGAAAGAAGCTTACGTACATGCTCAATGTCATTCAGCAACCCCAGCGAGCGAGAGCTTGCGGCTCTGGAGCCAAGTGTAAGATTCCGGTGCTGCAACATGTTTCCATGGATCATGCTAACTCAGAAAAGCTTCGGCGGACCGAAGACCAGTTGATCCTCCACCAGTCGTCGAGCTTCGTATTTTTGAGGGCGAGACCCAAAAGGATCCAGATGTCACTTTCTCCTACAAGGCCAACTTCTTCCTTTTTGCAACCTTGGAGTCAGTCCGACCGATCGCACATGGCCGTGTTCAGCCAACTCCATCCCAGACACCCGTCCTCACTGGAATGCCCGTCTCGGGAATGGCCTACCTGGATCGTCCGCTAGAAGCTGGATATTTCATTTTCCCTGATCTTTCCGTTCGCCATGAAGGCGAGTATAGATTGAGCTTCAACTTGTATGAATCGGTTGACCCTTCACTAAATGGTGATTCCTCGCCTGTGGATCGAAAGCCCTCTCTGAGCACTGACATTCCCAATGCATCATTCGACTGGCGCATGGAAGTAAAGTCCCATCAATTCCCTGTCTACAGTGCAAAGAAGTTTCCAGGTCTATCTGAGAGTACCCAACTCAGTCGAGTCGTAGCTGAGCAAGGTTGCCGAGTTCGCATTCGACGTGATGTTAGAATGAGAAGAAGAGAGAAGAACGCCCCTGAGGATTATGAGCATAATGAACCACAACACGATGCGTGGTCACGCCCAGCCCCGAGCATGGAGGACCAGCAGGAAGTTTATACTCGAGAGCGTTCTCGTGGCGACAACATTTCTCCCAAGTATGACCATGGAGAGGGCTACTCACCACATCATTCTGAATCACCCCCGTTGTCTTCTGGACCTGTTCCACCAAATGGCTATCTCGGAAATGTCGGTGGTGATCTAGCTCGCAGCAACCATCCAAATGGACCTCCCCAATTCGCAGCACCGCAAGCGCCTCACTCCCAACCACCTTCAACACATTCACATCCATACCCACCTGCTCCTGTTCATTATCATCAACAGCAGCAACCTCAATATCAGCAGTATCGGGCACCACCACCTCCTCCAGCTCCCATCCAACCACAGCCATATTCCCAGACATATGCTCCACCGCCTCCTTCATATTCAACCAGCCAACCACGAGATCTTTATGAACGCGATCAACACAGGAGACCATCGATGGGCTACCAACACCACAATCCTCCACCGCCTGCGCATCCACCAATTGAAAGCGGATTTTCACGACGACCAAGCTATGCTGCATCTGGACCACATTCATCTCACGACCAACTTCCACCAATTGCGCCTTTGAATATTCCAACCCATAATACGCACGATCACAATATGCATAATTCTCAAATCAGTCCTCCATTGCCAACCAAATCCACTTCCTACATAACTCCAGACTACGACCAAACTCCTCGTACTTACACTCAATATCAAGATCAACGCTCGCCACCGGAACCCACGACTTTGAAAAGATCGTACGACGCCGTTTTTAGCAACACCCCAGCACAGCAACCGCTCTACAATGGACGTCGGCCTTCAGAACCGAATTACAATCACGAAGGCACCTCTGCTGGTGAGCCTCCCATGTTTTACAAACGTGCCGATGGCATTTACAAAAAGAAGGACTCCGAGCAAGGCGATTTCAAGATTGTTCATCCCGAGGAACAATTGCAACTCTCCCAAGAGGAGTATAATCGGAATCGTGCTACTGCCCATTATTAGTCGTTTGAAGTGAGGCGTTCGTGATGCTTTGATATCATTCTATTGGCGATCGAGGCGTTGGGTCTGGGTTTCATAAGGAGGGTATTCGTATTATACCTACTTCTTTTTGTCTATACCTTTTTTGCTTTGGGATGGGGATTTGGCGTTGAGGGGATGTTGGAGTGATACATTATTCTTGAGAGTTCCCATGATGAAACGGGAGTTTGGTTTCTCTTTGAAATTCTTTGCATTGAACGACAGACGACTTTTTGGAGAGATCTTTATTTGGAGTGGAAGAATACCCCGACGTACACGTTATACCTCTTTGGAGAGGTTTTTTTCTTTCTTACCCCTGTGTTTAGAACATATCAGCTTTGCTTGCGTTTCCTTTGTCCTATTGTTCTTATCCTTTGCTTTTCAGGGTGGTTTTTGTGTAATTAAGAGGATGTTTTAGCGGAGGATGGATGGAAAAATTCTTCTGGGAGATGTGATGGGAATAGGGAGAAGCATGTTTTGTTGTATGGACTAGCAGGAATTACAATCCCGAAATCGGGATAGCAGGCCAGAAGTTTTTTATTTCGTGGATTTGAGATTGGCATGTTTGTGGCAAGGAAGCAGTGGGAATTCAGGAGACAGCACAGAAAGAAGAATGATTTGAAAGATATCAGATATATATATGAATAGTATATTCTCTCCCCTACTTTTAGTTTCTGTTCTTTTTTGGATTTGTGGATTTATGTGCATTCTGCGAGGTTGCTACATAACAAGATGTTTTCACCACGTACCAATTGCCCTGGTCTTTCTTATACAAGTAATAATAGATTCTAGAACCAAGACTTCCTACTTCATCCTCCATACTTTCACAAGGACCCGAAGAAAACGTACGGTAATGTATTTATTACCGAGGTATCTCGGTAAGTTCCTCCCAAATTTACTTTATAAAATCCAAATCTAATCTCCCGATCCCAGTTTTACTTTCCACCCAACTCCCAAGTTCGGGAAGATCTCTCACTTTTTTTTTTTGTCTTTTGGAATTTCGGACCTCTTTTTCCAAGACCCTGCCCAGACTGGCCTAGACTGATACCCGGCTCTTGGGTTTTTCTTGATGTGGTGGATCCTTGCTTTCTTTTCTCTTTTTGTAAAATTGATGTGACGAACGTCCGCTTTTTTCTTTTTTTTCGGTTTTTGGTTTTTGGTTTTTGGTTTTGGTTTTGGTTTGTTGGTGTGGAGGGGGTATGGAGGGACATGGAGGGCGAGGATGGATGGGTGTTGGTGCCTGGTTTTGGACGGTCTGGAAGTGTGGATTGTGTGGACTTTTGGGATTTTGGGATTTTGGGTTGGAAGTGGACGGTGGATGGGGATGGGATGGGGATGGGATGGGATGGGATGGGATAGGATGAGATCGTCGGGTGGTGNCTTTTGGGATTTTGGGATTTTGGGTTGGAAGTGGACGGTGGATGGGGATGGGATGGGGATGGGATGGGATGGGATGGGATAGGATGAGATCGTCGGGTGGTGGGGTGGTGGGTTATTTTTACCGTTTTTTTTTGTCAAGGGGAGGAGGAGAGGAGAGGGTGGTAGGTAGAAATAGTTGTAGTTGTAAATTACAGTCTACTCGCCAAAGTAAAGGGGGTCTGGACAGCTTGCCCTTGTCACTTTCTAATATACATTACCTCTACATGTATCAGACAATCCAATATTGATTAGCTTAGAGGGTTCCATTGGACTATTGTAGAGTTATATATACCCTGTCTATAACAATTCGTGCACAGGGAGTGGACGACGCGAGAATCGAAATGCTCAGACCCTTTCTATACTCGTACCTGGTAAACGTCCCTAAGGAGAAGCCAGGAGAAGTAAGTTGTGGAGTAGCAAAATGTAGGAAGAGTGAAGACACCTTTGTAGGCCACTTAAGGTATAGAGTAGGTACGGAGCTTTTTCCGGGTCCTAGGATAGAAAATCTGATTTTGAGGGGTTATAGTTAGAAGTGCCAAGTACTATGTTTTGGAATCTTGATCTTGTAGAGTACGTGTGAGAAGAAGGAGTTTTAGATATATAGTTTGATGTGGGATGAAGTGGGGTTTTGAGAAAAGAATCGTTTTTATTTAGTACGAGTACGACCCCTAGTATTCTCCTTGGGAATGGTTGGATGGTTAGATGGTATTATGGGTGCAAGTTATCGGGTGTCGGGTTGGGGGTTTTGTTTGGGATGGGGGGTGCTTTGGGGTGGGGGACGGTGTTTGATGGGTTTGAAGGGGGATGTGGAATGAGGGGATATTGATATTTCAATGGTGTTTTTTGGTTCTGGGTATACTTGGTATGTAAGATAGCTACCTGTGGATTTCGGGATGTGGAGAGTAAATGTAATGTATGGACGGAGTAAGTCTTACAGTACGGTCTACTCGGCAAAGTAGACTAGCAGGATGTTTTGGGACCTAGAAGCTATGGAGGTAAACTGTACAGTAATACACTGGGTAGTAGATGTAGATAGAGTGGAATCTTGCTACTTTTGCGAAGGGAGGGAATGCGAGGATTGGAAGATAGTGCTGTAGTGATTTTTTGTGGGGATGTTACCGTAATGCTTTTGGGGGTATACCAATACTGATATTATTCAGAACAAATTAAAGGATTGTGGGCTTTGGGTTTTGGTTTGGAGGTTTGGAGATATGGATTAATGGTTTTGGTTTTTTGTAGTGTGGGATGAAGGTTATTTGAGGTGTTTATAGAGTTTGGTGAGATTCTTTTGTGAGTTGTTAGTTGTAAAGGGAGTCGTTAATGATGAAGGTAGGGAAGAATGAACTGAACTGAACTGGGGAGGTGGGGGAAGTTCAAGTGGGTAGGCAGGTTGTTAAAGAAGCTGTGGGAACGAAATCGGAGTTGTGGGTTGTCAAGTTTTCTGTTAACTAGAGGAAGAAAGCGAAATAAGCTGGATGAGCGTAGTAAATAAGACTTAGTGGTAGAATAGCCCTACTTTAATTGTCGGATTATTTTAGTGGATAGATATTACAGTAGCTAGCTTACTTCGCTCCTTCAGGACTAGCTCGCGATTGCACGATCAATCCTTTAGGACTAGCGTACAACAAAATCTACAAGTACACAGGGACTTAGCTAGCTACACTTGCCTCCTTATATAATTTCAGAGACTTAGTTATTACACATAGTGTTTTTAGTCCTATTGTATTATCGTCTCTTATTTTCTTGTAAATAACTTAGGAGTTAAACTAACTATAGTATTAACGCTTTCAGAAAACTTCTAACCTAGTAGGAGCTCGGTCTATAACGTATAGACTACGGTAGTCTATAACTATATAGTCTATAATAGGGGTTAAATCTTACTGTTTTCTCTATATTAATTAATAAAATCTACCTAAAAAAAAGTATCCTCTACTATATAAAAAAGTAAAAGATTTTCTAAAAATATTATATTAACTAGCTACTATTCTACTAATAAGCTATATAGCCTAGAAAAGTATAGAAAGAACTACTATATCTCTATATAACGTATCCGACTACCTAAAATTCTAGCTATCTAGAAATTACTAAAATACTAAAATTAAGTATAATATATCCCCGCCCTTAACTTACTAAAAATTAGGAATTTAGTATATAGTATAATTAATAATAATAATAAATTTAATAGTAAATATAAGAGTATTTATAGAATACAACTATAAATACTAAACCCTATTTCCCTCTAATATCTTAAAACATATAGCTTATAGCTACATAGTCTCCTACTAGGTTAATAAAATATAAAGACCCTACTATCCTTATAAGAGTACTATTACTTAAAGGTAATCCTAGTATAATTATTACTCTTTAGTAAAGTTTAAGTTATTAGTAGATTAAATAAATAAGGCTTACTAATTGGATATTAGTAAATTACCTTATTAAGTTATAGATATATTATTCTATCTATAGTCTATAATTAAGCTATCTAAAGTTAATTTATAAGGCTTAAAGCGTAAGTTTATTTAAAGTTTTATAAGATAAGGCTTAAAGTATAAGATTTATTAGTTAAAGAAAAGATCTTACTTATTTACTATAGAATCTAAGAGTTTTATTAGTTCTTTTTATTATTATATAGTTTTAAGACTATACTATTAATTATATTTATATAGTAGTATTTATTCTATTAAATTAAATATCTTATATATATCTAGTAGGATAAGTTTAGGCTCCTTCCTTTACCTCTTCCCTTACTTATAGAGTATATTTAATTCTATTATAAAAGGGTATTCTTTTATTTTTATGCTTACTTCCTTAGTACTTTAGCTATAGTAGTTCTAAAGTTGTTTACTATATTTACTAATATAGCTATTACTCTGTAGATTAAAGAATATAATTCTATTATATATTAGAAGAGAATACAGGTTATTACGCCCTTTACGCTAGATATCCTATATAATCTTTTAGAGTAATTTGTTCCTTATATTTAAAGCTTTTTCTATAGCTAGAGATAATTAGTATAAAAATCTCATTAAACTTAGCTAGGCTAAGATAATATAGCTCCTTATACTAGAAGCCGAAGTAATCTAAGGTCTTATAATCTATTTAGTAGATTTTCTTATCTATATAGCTATTAATAGCCCTTTAATTCCTTAGTCTCGCTAGTAATAATACTCTTATAAGTTTAGCGAGTTCTAAGAGCTCTACCGACGCCTAAGTAAGTTTAACTAGAACTGAATTAATTTTTCTAGGCCTCGAATAATATATTTAACCTTTAGCCTTCCTACTTCTAAAGCTTTAGACTTAGATTTCTAATAAATATTAGTTTAAATTTAATAATAAGAGGGTAATTAATAATAAATAATATATATAATTTATACTAAATAAGAATTAATAGATTTTCCCTAGAATATATTAAATAAAGTAACTACTTATAAATAACTAGGAATTCGCCTTATAAGGTTTATGATACTTCTAGTACCGATTCTTATATAACTACTAAACTATTTCAAGGTCTTTAATTATAATATTCCTATATAGATTATAGTTCTAAACGTACCATTCTTATAACTCCTCCTAACGCTTACTTATAGAGCTTCTATCCTTGAAACTAAACCTTTATACCTACTTCGACAGATTAAAACTAAATATACTACCCGCTTTAAAGGATTAAAACTAATTATCTAGCCTTTTACTAAGAAGGTATTTAAAACGTATATTCGAACCGGAAGTAGGCGAGAATAAGTCTTACGCCTATTATAGTAAACTTAGTAAGCTTAATTATAATAATATACCTATACTTACTAATGATATATTAATATTAAATAGGATTATATCTCTACCCTCTAATAAAGTACTACTATTAAATAGAATTATACTAATATTCTAGTAAAAAGTTCGAATATAAAAACCTAAGTACTAAAAACTATATTGTTAATAAAAAGATAATATTCGATAGTAATAGTAGGTATTCTAGTAGAGGAAAAAGTAATAATTAATAGCGCTAGATATACTTATATAAGGATAATTCTGTACTTATAAGCGGTACTTTACCTAGTAAATATATATAATCTTCTAATAATTTTAATAACATATAGTTTTTCTAGTTGAAATTATAGATAACGCTAATACTAACAATACTACCTTTTAGGGATTTAGTCTTTTAAAATACCTTATTAGTATTTTAACTAGGCTATAATTTTTACTAAATCTAGATAAAAACTAGGCCGCTATTTATACTAAGTCTAGA